CTTCAGCTGGTTTCCCGGCGTGGCCTCCAGGGTGGCGTTAGGGTTTGTTTACATGCGCCTGGGTGTGCGAGTGAGCGTCTTGGGTGAGTGTTTTCACCTTTTTCAGTTTGTTTTTTTACCTTTTTCAGTTTGTTTTTTTCTTCTGTTGTCGTTTCTTTGGTTTTCTGCTGTTTTCTGCCCGTCTTGTGTTCCTCTGGGAACGTTTGAGTGTTGATTTTACTCCAGGTTTTCCGTTTTTGTCTGTTTTGGGTCTGGGCCCTAGGGTTTGGGCTTAGTGTCCCTGTCTGTTTATGCTTGCTCCCACACCTTGTCCCACGGTTTTTGGTCTGTTTTGACTGTTTCCCTGGGGATTCTGTCTGGGGCTGTGCTTTGCCTTTCTGTGGTGTATCTCCGCCGGCAAATATGGTGGTTTGGGCTCCCCCGGGTTCGATTCCGGGTTCCTTTGGGTTCCTTGGTTTCGTTCCGGAGGTTTCTTCCTCATGGGCCCCCCTTTGTGGGTTCAGGGGGCTTTGTTTCCTCGTGTGTGACCCGTTTCTGCTTTCTGGGGTTCCGGGGTCTTCCTGGCTTGCAGACTGATCTTTTTGGGTCTTGGCATGTATTGTGGTCATGTTGGGACTTTGGGTTTTGTTGTCGAGGTGGGCCTTTTGATGCAGTTTTGTGCCTTCTTCACCAGGCCGGCATGGTGCTCTCTGCCCACTGGTCGGCGGCTTGTAATTTTCTTTTCACGTGTATGTGTGTGTACACATGTACATATGTACACTGTAATTACCCAAGTGTAGTTACAGGATGAGAGCTACGCTTGTGGTGTCTCGTCTTCCCAGCACTCTTTGTCATGTAACGCTTTGAAACTACTGACGGTCTTGGCCTCCACCACCTTCTCACCTAACTTGTTCCAACCGTCTACCACTCTGTTTGTGAAAGTGAATTTTCTTATATTTCTTCGGCATCTGTGTTTAGCTAGTTTAAATCTATGACCTCTTGTTCTTGAAGTGCCAGGTCTCAGGAAATCTTCCCTATCGATTTTATCAATTCCTGTTACTATTTTGTATGTAGTGACCATATCACCTCTTTTTCTTCTGTCTTCTAGTTTTGGCATATTTAATGCCTCTAACCTCTCTTCGTAGCTCTTGCCCTTCAGTTCTGGGAGCCACTTAGTAGCATGTCTTTGCACCTTTTCCAGTTTGTTGATGTGCTTCTTAAGATATGGGCACCACACAACCGCTGCATATTCTAGCTTTGGCCTAACAAAAGTCGTGAACAATTTCTTTAGTATATCGCCATCCATGTATTTAAAAGCAATTCTGAAGTTAGAAAGCGTGGCATAGACTCCTCGCACAATATTCTTTGTGGTCCTCAGGTGATAGTTTTCTATCTAAAACCACCCCTAGATCTCTTTAAGTCTAGCCAGCCTGCGGTCTATTCCCGGGCTCATGATGTTCATAAGTTTGCTGCGTTGGCTGCCGTTTTTGGCAACGTGTCTTGGGTTGACATTCGGGCCCAGGGTTTTTGGAGATTGAACAGGGTTCTGGCCGCTCGCTACCTTGTGAATATCCCTGGGCCTGGTAGGGCCTGCGTTGCATTAGATCAGCGGTTGCAGCCAGTTGTCTCGACTTCACGTTGAGGAGTGAGGACGGATCACTTCCCGGGTAAGTCCCTGTTTTCCCTATCTTTGGGTAGCTAGGTCCGGGGAGCTGACAGGGCTTCCCCCAGAAAACCAGCGTTGAATGTTATGACAATCGACTCATGTGTTGTTTGGTCAACATATTTCAGCCACGTTATTGTGACTCCTCGTCTGCTAATGAAACGCCATTTTCCGGGCAAGTCTCCGAGGCTCCCAGGCATCCCTCCCTCCCTCCCTCCCGGTCGGCGGTGTTTTTTGCGCTTTTTGACATCCAACCGAAGAACTGAAGGTTGGGTCGCCGGCAGGTGGGTCTGGGGCTTCCCCTTCCCCCTCCTAGAGAGGGGGAGGTTGCGCAGACAGAGGTGCAGTGACATGATGACGTCGTGCCCGTTTGCTAATTTTCGTTTGGGGAATTCTGTTCACTTATTCGGTCTTAGGTCGCAATAGTTTTACCAGAATTGGGGTTTGTTTTGAGGCGCCTACCTCTCTGAGTGCCTATCCTGGTTGATGGCAGACATAGAACGTTCCTAACCACATGGGGGGTCTCTATAGGCCATTGCTCCTCGTGCCTTTCTAGAGGAGGCCAGGTTCTGGCTCATGGTCCCCAGTAGGCAAGTACTCCATGCATTGATGCCTGAAAGTTATGCATATCCATTCAGCCTGGAGAGCAACAGGGAACCTCCGGGACTCACCCAGAAAATGGCGTGTTTCCTGGTTTTTTGTTTTATATTTAGTTTTGAAATATAATTAGGGTAATGAAAATCTATTAACCACTTAACTGCGCCAACCGAGTATTCTCGGTCGGTGGGAAACTGCGTCAACCGAGAAGACTCTCTTATTTTTTCGTACACATTCTAAATGTGTGCACGGTTGGTTGTGTATGAAATGGACTCTTAGGACCTCCAGTGAGAGGCAGCCATCTTGGAAAAAATTCACAGAATGCCCTAGGACTGCTGGCTGAGTTAGTACTGAATGAGCAACCATGGGTGGTGCACGCGCCTCTGGCTCCCAAACACCTGTCCGACGTGGTGTTGAAAGATCACGCTCTGTCGGTGAAATTCAAACCTTATTGTTTGAAGATCATAAGGGTAATAATAATGGTGAAGCTAGGCGCATTAAGGACCTAACACAAAGGTCGGATGCAAGTGATACAGCACCTATGAGGACTATACAGCGAGTGTATCCAATTGTAGCTCTGAGCACCATCCTTGCCCACCTATGCTATCTCCAATTTATTTAGATGAATCATTTTCTGCATTCAGTGATGATGCATCTGATAAAAGGAGCATAGATGAACAGTGTTAGCGGCTTCCATGGTGGTGTTTTCCATAGATATTTTTAAGAATAGCTGAATCTCTTCCTGACTGACAGACACTCTTTGAGGCTAGCTGAATCTCTTTCTGTGTGGGACCTTACAAAGCGATCTTTTCAAGACAACCTTACAAATTGATCTTTTCCTGTAATCTTTTCAATACTACCTTATGCTATACAAGCTTGGCTACATACAACCTACAAGTACTAAAGCCAAAGGTGTATGTGAATACGTTATTTGCAAGCACACAGAATGAAGAAACAGGAAGCAAAAATTTATCTGTACCTGGTGCACTGAGAGCGAAGTAACGCTGTGTACCATGGACTACTTCGTTGATTATTACTCACTTCCGAAGTACTGAGTGTGTAATACAGTGTGTTACTGTGTAAATAGTGTGTGAAACTGTACATATTGTAATTTTTAGTGAATTTTTAACAGGTAATATTGCGACAATAAACATTTATTGTGGACACATTACTGACACATGTATCAGTTCCATGGAACATTATGAACGTTCCACTGTATACATATTGTAAAGGTCACAAATATGCATCATATATGAAAAAAAAATAAAACTGCATTGGAAATACATAGAACAAATAATTGTAAATATATTTGTGGCAACACCCGGTGCTTGAATGGCCTGCGCAACCGTGTCTGGGAGCTTCACGCACGGGCGACCAGCCCCTGATGACGTCACAGCGCACCTTGTCCACGTCCCCACAGCCAAAGTAAGTGGAATTTGGTATTTATTTTTACATAGGAAGGGAATTAAAAATTTTTACGAAGAAAAAAGAATTTTTGGGAACATTTTATTTCATGTGCACAGGGGGAATTTCACAATAAACTCGGCGCAGCATTGTGGTTAAAACACCTGTTTTAGAAAAGATTTATTAATCTGAAACTTTCAAACTCATGGGTCATTGAACTATAATGACACAGATGAAGGAAAACCAAGCGTGGTTTACAGTAGAGTATTCCCTTATATGTCCACCCTCACTCAAGTTGTTTCATCACAGAAAATGTCTATAAGGAGATTTCAACACGTGTAGCTAGCATCTCTTGCTTCAACCTTTAAATCGATTTACAAAGATAGGTGTGCCATAAATCAGTGAACAAAATTCATGGAAACTCGGTCGTTCACTTGTTGTATGGATCACTCTGGCTGGTGTTTAATTATTATGGTTCACTAGTTGTTTGGTCCACTTGTGTAATCCAACTTGTTATATGAAGGAATTATTAATTGTAACCTATGATATAATGAGTGTGTCTTCCACCGGTCTGTGAAGACCGGTGGAAGACCAACATTTCCAACATCGTTAGCAAATCCTCACATTCCCTGCTTTGGCGAACCAGAGTTCGTCGAAACGGCCGAGTAAATCCTGCCTGACAAATGCGCGACCCAACCAATGCTTTGCCGAACTGAGGTTCTTCGAATCTAGGTTGTTCTGTACAGTATTGTAATACAATAGTAGTAGGCATCCATCAGTCTCGGGAGACTATGGAATTGTGCTCTGGTTGTTGGTCTGGAGTGGTCTCTCCAGGGTGCAAAGCCAGAGTAGGTTGATATGGAGGAGAAGCTGTTACCCAAGCACCAGGTTCCCCTTCTCCACAGCGCCAAAAGTCTCCAATGAAAAGGCAATTGCCAACACGATTGGTTCCAGCGCCGTCGCAGGAACTGTGAGCTCCTGAGTTGATCTCGAAGTTGGTGAAATTAGGCACAAGGACTTCTAACCCGGATACCGCCGTGGTTGGGGCTCGGAGAAGAACCTCCCCAGCAATACTGTACAGTACTACTTTGATTCAAAGAACTTCGGTTTCTAATACAGATAAAATGCTAATACAGATAATAATACAATACATTATCTGTGTTAGCATTTTACCTATTTGTTACAATAGACCCAACACAGAGTGTATCTGAGGGTATCATTGATATTTAATTTTAAGTTTCATTTCATTAATTTGTTTAGTATTTAATTTTCATCGTTCAATATACAGTAGCCTATATATGGCCTTTGTTGCATGTAATTTTAGAATGTGATAACTAATATTTGACCTGTTTTACAGCCAGACCCCCAATTGCTTCAGCAAATGATGAAAGTGTACATGTGACAGCATATGAAAGAAACCTTAATGAAGGTCAGCATTGTTTGAGAGTGGCTCTCCAGCTATACAAGACCATAGCCCGTAGTCGTTTTCAAGAGGTAGTGTTATTGAATGTTTATGTATACTTCCTAAGATAGCTTTTTTTTTTTTTAAGGTTTTGTATAAGTGTTTCTCTAACTTTATTGTTTGGCTGATGATGGGCAGTAATTATGTGATTTTATCTAGATCAATTTGAAGGGCATTACAATCATCTGCATCTCCTGTTTTTCCCACTATCTTAGCATCATCCACAAACATGTTCATATAATTCTGTATTCCTTCTGGTAGAGCGTTAATGTAAACTATGAACATAACTGTTGCAAGAACTGAGTCCTGTGGTAATTACTTGGTGTAGTTACAGGAGGAGAGCTATGCTCGTGGTGTCCCGTCTTCCTAGCACTCTGTCATAGAACGAATCTACTGCTATGCAGGAGATAACCGTAACAGCTCCTCCCCAAGGCCTCTTCCTATCGTCTGAGATGCTAATGCGGATTGGAGATTGAAAGTGAGAGGTTCCACATCGTGGACTCGGGAGAGGGTGTCCGCGACAACGTTGTCCGAGCCTTTGATGATGATGTTTAGGTTATAGTTCTGCAAGTACAAGGCCCAGCAAAGTAAGCGCTGGTTGGAGAACTGGGCCTGCTGCAGGAACCAAAGGGGATATGATCTGAGATGATGTCGACGGGATGATAACCTTGGAGATTGGGTTCATAGTGTTGCAAGCAGAGGATGATAGCCAGTAGCTCCTTTTCAACTGTACTATAGTTCCTCTGATGTGGTTTCAGCTTGTAGCTGTAGTAGCTGATTGGTAGGATCTCATCGCCTCGCTGCTGCATCAGCACACCCACAATGCCGGTGGTGCTGGCGTCAACATTGAGGACGAAGGGTTTCATTACATCTGGCGAGGCGAGAATTGGATTAGTACAGAGTAATGCCTTTAATTGTTCAAATGCATTGGATTGAGAATTTGTCCACATGTATTTCTGCTTAGGGCTGGTCAGGTTGATGAGGTGTAGCCACTGAACTGCAGTTCCTGCAAAATCGGCGATAATATGATGCTAATCCTAGGAAGCGCATAAGCTGCTTCCATGTAGTAGGCTTAGGGGTAATGCTGTATGGGATGAAGATGTATGTCAAGAAGTGCTATGCCTCCACTGCCTATAATATGACCTAGACAAGGCACTTTACCTTTGGAAAATGTTTACATGCCCAAAATAATTGAGGCCAGCCTGGGGGAGCTTGAGGAACAATTGTAGCTGGAGCAGATGGTCGCTCCAGGTGGATATTGTCACAACGATGTCATCCAAATACGCGTAGGTGTCTTCAAGGCCCTGGATAATGATGTTGACAGCTCTCTGAAAAGTAGCCGAGGCATTACATAGTCCAAAGGGAAGTCGCACGTACCTGAATAGGCCAAAGGGAGTGATGAAGGCGGAAATATTCTTGGCATGCTCTGTCAAGCTGATCTGGTAGTATCCTTTTAACAGGTCTATCTGTGAGAGATACTTTGCATTATCTATAGCATCTAGAATATCGTCGATGCGTGGCAAGGTATAGGAGTCCTTTATCGTGACAGTATTTAGTCTACAATAGTTGGTACAGAGTCTTACCTTACCGTGTGACTTTGGCACCAATGTACAGGGTGAGGCCCAGGGGAACTCACAAGGTGTGGCCTGCCTATTGTCGAGGTGGTGCTGCACTTCAGCTTCTGTTGACTGACGCGGTAGTATGGTTGACGAATTGGCATTGTGTCGGGAAGTAGCTTGATGTTATGTCGCACTAATATACATTCCTGCAGAATGTCTTGGAACAAATCTCTCTGCATATTGAAGATGTGGATGAGAGTAGCACTGTTGGATTCCTGGAAATAGTTAGGAAGATCATTTAAGATTACGGAGTTCGAGAGCATGGTATTAGAATCAATGCACTCAGGAGGAGAAGCAGGGTAGATGTTAGTGAGTATATGGATCCTTGAATGTGTGTAGGAACATTAACACAGTGGGAGGATTACCTTGATACTGCTTCAGAAGATTGATGTGGTACAGTTGGGTCTTCTGCCACCTATCTGGTGTGTCTAGAATGTAGTTATGATTATTCCAATATTCTTTGATGCAGTATGGACCTGAAAATTTACTTTGGAAGGGTGAGCCTGGGATAGGAAAGTAGGCCACAACGAAATCTCTAACATTAAATTTTCTTACTTTACTATGTTGGTCAAAGTGTGCTTTCATTTTATTCTGGGATGTTTGTAATAACCCCATCTGCTTTACACCCTTTCCTCACTCAATACCCCAGCTTAATGCTGCTTGCTGAACAATGTGACCCCCCAATGAACTACAGCAATTATCAGTTCTGAAATATTAAATGAGGAGGAAGCAACAAGTAGAGGGTTTATTAATTTAAAATTAATCCTCAAACCGCTAGGGGCCCAAATGGAATTAACACCCACAGGTACAAAAAAAAAAAAAAAAAAAAAAAAATTCTTTCGTCTTATAGAAGTGTTCATTTTTGTTCCCTGATCACGGAAAAAATAACAAAAAAATCGTAGGTGGCATATTTTAGCCGCAATAGGGTAGGGAAGTGTGGCAAAAAAGGGGCGTTGGCAGAGCCTTCGCCAGACGAGGTCTACTCCGCCCGAGCTGTCAGACGGCAGTTGCCACAAATATATTATTACCTAATTATTTCAATGTCTGATTTTTTCTTAGTTTTTTTTTGCAGTAATATTATTCCATACAGTGAATTGTGGTATATTTATATAATAAAATGTGTGAACCATCGCTGTACTCAAAATTATGGTGTGCATATTAGTGATTCAATTATGTTCATAAAACAATAAACAAATAGTTTTGCTGTTGTTACACTATATACACAGGTTATATATAAGTATCTGCATGTTTTGTTCACTATAACGAACTACTAAGTTGGTCTTGTGAGTCAAAAAGCAACGAGGAGTGACCGCCACACACCAGCGAGCCACTCACTGCCACACCCTCCCTCAACACCACCTCACTCACCCTCATTCTCCTCCCACAATACTGTTTTTGCATTTATTCACTATACACAGACGTTATATATACGTATTTACATGTTTTGTTCACCATAACTGTACATCTAAGCTTGTATGGTGAGTAAAGGCACAGACGTAGTTATTCACACAGTCAGCTGGTGATGGCCACCCTTAAGGCCAGACGCACTAATATTTCTCCTTCAAAAATATTGTTTGTGGTGTTATTATGCTATATACACACATTATATATAAGTATCTACCTGTTTTATTCACCATACCTGTACAAATAAGCTGGTATGGTGTCCAAAGACCATAGTGGCCACCAGTAAACAACATGACAAGTCGTGCAGACTTCGCTCCTCCCTCACCAAAATGGCGGCTCCCAACCTCCTACTCTTGCTGTTATCTCACACTATACACATGCTATATATAAATATCTACATTTGTGTTCACCATAGCAAACCAATAAGCTGGTATGGTGAGTGCAGTCAATAAAAGGTGGCCACACACAGTCAGAAGACGATGCCACAACCCTCCCTCCACAGCCTTACTCCTCCTTCCATGAAGCACAGCGCTAAATATCACCACAATCCTGCTATTATCAGAATCCTGGTCAGTTTTATCACAGTCAGGGGGCTTCAGTAATACTATCACTGCTAAATAATAGCAGTATCATATATATTATGGCATTTGTAGGCAATGCTGTGGTCACAAGCTGAACAGCGGTGCTGTGAGCTCGTGCTGCGTGCGCCAGCCTTGGTGGCTTGCTCAATACTGACACTCTAACACCCAAGAATGTTGGCCTGGATTTTTTTTCTAGGTGGCATCTGGCAACTATCAGTCGTGGTTGTACTATAGCTGCCCCTATCCCAGGCGGGGCGTTTAAATTATAGCGCTAGACACGAAATCGTATATAAATGATGTGCGTGGTTTCGGTTTTGTCACTGATATCATATATATATGATATGCACGGTTTACGGGTTAAGGAATAAAAACTTCACTTGTTCACTGCCACCACCTTCCCGCTCACATACCTGAATGTGTCTAAATTGATCCCCAGGGAGGAAAGAGATGAATAATCAGGAAACTCAAGTGCATAAGACTCTTGGTAATAATAATGCTTGGGAAATGAATTATACCATTTACTTTACTGATTGAAGATTGAACGACAACTTTAATATCCATAAAATGGAGGAGAACACAGGGGATTTCTAGCACAGCAAATGAAAACCACAAAAGAATGACCCAGCATTAATCAAAAGGGGAACAGATAACTAAACACAACTACATTAATACACTTTATTTACTTGAAACACATATATTTAAATAAAAAATTGGAAAATATCCTACTCTAAAATTCTCAGAGGCAAATGGTCTTCAATACCAAATATACATGAAATACTCAAGTGCACAATTACCTTCAATACTGCAACTTGCCAAAAATGTTGATTGACTGCCCCCAGGTCACCTGACCTGTACCCCAGTTGAAGCCCCAAGACACACTAACTTTAATATTTTCTTAAACTCTTCCAGTGGACAACAAACTCCACCCACCTAGTTCCTAGGCCCAATAAGCCCCTCTCAAGGCCTATAGCCAATGGATTTAAACACAACTGGGTGCTCTAGAAGCTTGGCCAATGGAATTGTCAGGCCCTACCCTGGGGGACTCCACCTCTTGGCCTTCCTGATTTTCAACCAATCAGATCCAGGCTTGACCATAAGGGTCTATTCCCCTTGACAGAGTACTCACCCGTTCCCACGCTCACATGCCCGGACTTGGCGTCAGAGGTCCCAGACCCTGGGTGACTCTCGAGTTTATGGCACCTAGGGAACCCCTCAATTCGTTACTGGTTTTAGAGAGAGTCGAGAAGGAGAGGAAATGGTTGGGACGGATGGATTGGGAGGGATTAGGGAATAGGAGATTGGTGGTCTCCCAGGAAAGACATCTGACCCCAAAAGTTTTATGGTAAGGGAATGCCTGGACAACAGGGAAGGGAAATGAGGCAACTGGGGGAGGAGCGAATGAACAAGGACAAGAGGAAAGGGAGGAGG